AGAATTTAGGAGCCAAGTGGCTATCGGAAAAAAAAAATTAATTTCACGCCCTGAATATGTTTGTCAAGTGAACCTTTTGCCTATAGCCTAGATGCCAATTCCCCTCTAGTAGATCTGAGATAAACATGGCGGACAACATCAGACGAATTCTCGCTGGAGATGTCACGAATCTACCGCGAAAGGAATCCAACATAGTCCGAATATTTACAAGCTCGACCTTCACAGGTAATCCTTTTGATTAAATATAGGAGCTTGAAACATCATGAACAAGTCATAGAGAGTTTTTATACACCTGCAGTTTTCCCTGTTCTAAATCAGCTATCAAGTGACCCTGCTCAAATAAAGATGTATCCCGCTCAGGGTACAAATATGGCCAGGTTTTGCACGTGATCGGGACGTGTTTGAAGAGGGTGGTGTGATTGTGGCGTGATACTTTTAAAGCTCTCTTCTTTGAACTTCTTGTTCCCTGGTCCTCTTAACGTCCAGGTCGATCGCAGTCACACATTCTCTTTCTTCCCTACTTCCTTCCCTAACGGGGAGGGGAGAGAAATGAAATACCATCCTAAGCACTCATGTTTAGCTTGTTTTCCGGATATTCATATATACTGGTCCCTCGGGAAATGGTCAGTTTTGTTTTGCTTTCGAGTCTCAGGAAACCAAAACTAACTGTTTCCCATGGAAGCAGACATTCAGTGTATATATATAATATTCAGAATGAATGATTAAAATGTTCAAAGTTCCTATTGAATATGGATAAAAACTTTCCTCCTGACTCGGCTCATAATTAATGTTTATCTTCAGATACCACGGAAGAGAGAAATCGCCTCATAAGGGATGTGTATCCGAGCTTGCGGACTTTCTGTCAGCAACGAGGATTAGAATTTCAAGTGGTGGACATGAGGTGGGGCGTGCGAGATGAGGCTACCGCTGACCACAAAACCAACGAGCTGTGCATGCAGGAGATCAAGAACTGTCAAAGACTCACGCCTGGGCCAAATTTTGTGGTAAGTTTACATTTTTGAAAGAACCAAAGAGTTATGTTGATATCGTGTTATCATAGGTTTACATTTAGTGTAAAGGTTCCATTGTTTTTTTTTTACGGGATAATTCTACTAATGAATTCAATTCAGTGTCTTTTAGGCGACAAATATGGCTATCGACCATTTCCTCACAAAATCAAAGCAACTGAGTTTGAGATCCTGCTAGAAGTGGCTCGAGAAACTTACGACCAGCCTGAACATATTGATTTACTTCTGGAATGGTTCTGGAAGGTAAAATGACTTTGAGCTCATTTATATGAATTCTCTGAACTCCATGTCCATCACTTGTAAGAGCTGAGGCACGTTTCCTTTAAAGGTTTAACCCGGAAACAATTATCTGTCAAGGAAGAGAACACTGAGACTAAAAGGACGTTAGGGTGAATCCATTCATTTTTTAAGGGGTCCAATGCAGTCCTGTAGTTGGAAGAATTGGTTTCAGACAAGTCGTAAAAATACCCAGGGGGATAGGGAGGGTATGGACCCTCCATATGGATCCTTCATAGGGATAAGGATGGTTAAAAATAGCGGACATGAACAAGGATTAGTAAAGGCAAATGCTATCCTTGAGTTTTTTTAAGATTGACAAACATTGCCGTACATTTTTTTGTATTTTTTTAAAAAATTTTTTTATAAGGAGTGAACAATTCCTACCTTTTGACTTACAGGACACAAACACCATCCCAGCAGAATACGTCCTTCAGCCGATCACTTATCATTTTCCTCACTACACTGACTTAGGTGAGGCGAATGAGGAGCTGAACAGGCAGGAGAGGGACCAGTGGTGGAAGATCTTCCAGTCGTTTCAGAGAATTTTCAAATGGACAGCAAGGATCGCCACAGAAAGGAGGAAAATTACATTGCAACAAGCTCACAAGTATTTCAGCTCAGGTGCGGACGCATCATATACAGACATCTCACTTTTTATAAATAACATGTGGCCACCACTGATATCAGAAGATTGGGCATATACCGCGGGCCATTTTATAGTGCTGTTTGTGCGTGACATTTTAAGATGAAAGCCAACTTGGATTTGTCACCAATTGAAATTGTAGTTATCCAAAACAAACCGCATTAAAAGTAGAGTAATGCAACAGAGCGAGCCAAATTAATGTTTTGGAGCTTTCAAATTTCATTGAAAGTGTATGCGCCAAAATAGAATTTAAAGCCAACAAAACCTACAAGATAAAGTTTCGGTTTTGATTTTTTTCGGTTTCAAAAGACAGCGAGTCCCGTTAAACTCTAGTTTCTAATGGTGTAATCTTTACCATCATATTTTAGTGACCGAGAAAGAAATTGAACATGGTATTCTTGGTTCTTCAAGCCCTGACGACCAAACTCTTTGTTACATACGCCACATCTCGGATATCCAAGTAAATCTTACCGACCAGAATTCCCGAAAGTATACCGACGTTTCCGAAGGGGAACATGACCTCGAAGCACAAGACCTCTTGATCAAATTGAAACGTGACCGTTTGCTTCAGAGGCTTGGGGAGAACAACATCACCCGCTTTGAAATTCCTTGGAGCAACGGGGGAATAAATGTTTCAGACAGAATGCACGAACAATACCTAAACAATTTCTGTCACAAGTTTGAATCAGATGTTCAGAGATTGATCAAAAAGAGCTTACAAAATGCGGTAAGAGAAAAAGCGATGGAATCCAGCTTGTACAAAGAGGTTCTGCATCATGCTTGGTTTTGCCAAGACAAGTGCGAAGCATTTAGAGGTCGGGAGGATGTTCTTCAGAAGATACGAACGTCATTGAAAGACTTTGAAAAGATCGAGCCTTTGGTAATTTATGGTTCGTCAGGCTCTGGTAAAACGTCCATTATGGCTGTTGTCGCTAAGTCGGCGAGGCAGTGGCTCGGAGATGGCACCGTATGTGTTTTCCGTTTTCTCGGTACTTCCCCTGACAGTTCATCGATTCGATTCACAATAACAAGTATATGCCTCCAAATATGTAAAGTATACAGTTTAGAGGCACCAAAGGGCGATATTTTAGAAGATTTTTCTCAATTAGTACGATTTTTTCACGGTCTTGTCACTCGTTTGCCTGTCAGTGCTGCTAAGCCATTGGTTCTTATCTTGGATTCGATAGACCAGTTGTTTGCAACAAAAAATGCTCATTTAATGAACTGGCTCCCCAAAAAGTGCCCACAGTTTATCAAGATTGTAATTTCGGTACTACCAAATTATCACCAAATTCTATCAAATCTGCGCCGAAGTCTTCCCATAGAGAGATGTTACATTGAAGTCCCATTCCTCACCATCGAAATGGGCAAGGAGATTTTAGAAGCCTGGCTCCAAGGAATTGGGAGAACCTTGACACAGGAACAATTCGAGTTGGTCTTATCAAGTTTCGCCAAATGCCCTCAACCTTTGTTTCTTAAGCTGATATTCACAGAGGCATCAAGATGGGATTCTTATACAGATGTCACTGGGCTGGATCTTGGAGGTGATGTTCGCCAAGCCATTCAACTTCTGTTCCAACGCCTGGAACGAAAACACGGCAAGACACTCACTTCGCGCGCCCTTAGTTACATTACAGCTGGTAGAAATGGTATCACTGCAAACGAGCTAGAAGATGTGTTGTCACTGGACGATGACGTCATAGACGACGTTTATCAGTATTGGGATCCTCCTGTTGAAGGTGTTGTCCGCTTGCCGAACCTATTGTGGGCACGTATACGTCATGACATCGAAGAATTCTTAACAGAGCGACAGGCAGATGGAAAAACTGTTATCGCCTGGTACCATCGACAGTTCTGGGAGGCTGCACAGAGCCATTACTTGTCAAAACCCGACGAGAAGCAGGCCAGACATTTATTACTCGCAGAGTATTTTGAAGGTATGATTTCGGTGCCACTTAATTATCCAAGGTCACGTAAATCAGTCAAATATAAGAAAACAAGCCTAGATTCTAATTAAATGTAATTGTACTAGCCAGTGCTTGGGATCAAAACAGAGAAGGTGACAAACAATTGAGATGAACTTTACTTCGTCCTCCTGAATGAGCACAGACTTCTGTCAAGGAATGAGGAATAAGTTATCTTCATCTAAACAAACGATTACACAGCATGAAGACTTAAACCATGCATTCGCTTCAACTATTTCTCTTTCTTTTTCAGGAAGATGGGGCGGAGGCCGTAAGAAGCGCATCACCCTGACGCACAGAAAGAAAACACTGCCTGACGCAGACAGACAAGTCTCCAGTCAGCCTCTCATGTTTAGTAAGAGTGTGTTTAACTTGAGGAAGCTGAGCGAAATGCCAATTCATCTCATTTACTCTGGTCTCAGTGACAGATTGGCCAGTGAAGTGTTGTTCAATTTTGAGTGGATCTACGGAAAAGTGCGTGGTCAGTCTCTGAGTGAGGTCTTAGAGGATTACGTCGTTGCTTTGGAAGTGAGGCCTGACCTGGATGTAAGGTGGGAATAATTGCTTGAAATTTATTATGCTCACAAGTACTAATAATGGAAAGTTATTAAGAGGAGATGAATCTTTCATGTCTGTATCCACTGTAGTCCACTGTAGACTGACATTTTAATAACCTGAGCAGAAGGAGTTATCCAAGTCACGTAAGGAGTTGTTAGTCATTGGAATGTTAAAAGTCGGGTTCCTTGAGGATGGTCCGTCAGTTTTGTCATGGTTCTGTATGTACAGGCTGTTTGATATGTTGAAGTGAAATGCGTTTATCAAAATTACACCAATTAAGTGATTGGATTCGGCTAAAAAATCTGATGGAAAGTTACTTAATAACAAAAATGGGGAGAAACATTGCTGAGGGGGAGAGAAGGAATTAGTTGTGCGGCGTATGAATCACTTGCTTACTTCAACACTTAAACGAAGATTTGAACCCAATTGAAGTTTTAACAGTTAGATGAAAACCATCCTAACTTAGTTTTTTTATCATGTTAAGGTTTGTTCATGACACGCTCATCCTGGCATGGAGCAACATCAAGCAGGATGTGGATTGCCTGGCGACTCAGCTTCTAGGAAGACTCCTCACCTTCAGAGAGCAATTTCCACGCATCGCCGATCTTATTACGCAATGTTACTGCTGGTGTGATGCACAGCGGTCTCCTCTCTTTATTCCCCAATGCGCCTGCCTAATCTCAGCCGGTGGACCGCTAAAAACCAATTTGCGCGGGCACGAGCAAAGAGTAAACGAAATCGCCGTTACAAGGGACGATAAATTTATTGTCACTTCAGGCGAGGATTCGCTCATCAATGTGTGGAACAGCAGTAATCTAGATTGCCTTCACACACTAAAAATGGCAGACAAAGGGCCAAGTTGCCTTGTTTTATCCTTAGATGATAAGTACGTCATTGGCTCTGCCATCGCGAGCATAGGAGTATGGGACATCGATTCGGGGGAAGCTGTACAGCGGTTTCACAATGAAGGGGTAGTCACGTGTTTAGCGACTGGTTTCGACGGGGCTTATGTTGTTACGGGCGGAGATGATGGGATTGTTCGAGTGTGGAAGACATTCTCTGGAACGAAGGAGAAAACCCTAAGCGGCCATGAAGGTAAGTAGAACAAAGTAGAAATTAGATACCAACAAAATTTGCATCTACCTATAATTAATTAGGAAATATATTCTTAACTTGAGTTCGTGACATTTATAACAGGTTTGCCTCGTCGCTGTTATTCCTGTGCCCAGTGATTAATAAGCCATGCATTAATGTTGATGAGTTTCTCGGTATAAAATGTGTCGTTTTATTTTTCAATATTTCTTTCCCTACGGTTCATGGAAGATCAGACGTGAACTGGCCTCGAATAAGGAACATGATTCGAATTGTTTGCTTTGTTTTTGGTTTTTTTTTTCTATTTAGGACCAATCAACGCTATCGCTATATCACCGAATGATGAAATCATCACTGGCTCCAATGATAGCACGCTAAGGGTGTGGTCGCTCAGCTCTGGAGAATGCCAGGCTGTGTATGACGGTCATATGAGCTCTGTTCTCTGTCTGGTGTTAACATGTGATGGAGAAAGCGTCATATCTGGCTCGGAAGACAAAACTGTCAAAGCCTGGCATCTAAAGACGAAGAGTTGTGTTACCTTTAAAGGCCATTCAGGTAAGTTGGAGAAAAACTCATAGTAGTTAGTGGCATGAAGGGTTGTACAAATGAAACTCCAGTTCCGTAACAAGGGCCTATTCCAGAACCCGGCTGTTAGTCTTGTGTCCAACTTTGAGCCTAGAGAATCGATAGATCAAATTTTCTCATCGTCTCTCCTCTTTGACTTGTACGACTTGGGCAGCCCAATTGGAAATGATCATCTCGTAGGCAAAACTCCTGTGGCCAATGAGGCAAAAAGTAGGCTAAAGACAGAAACAGTGTTGTCCTTAGGGTAGTTGGACGTCTTTCATCGTGTCGTCAATGAAGATGGTAGAGAGAAACCTAGGCTCTCGGTCATCTACATCAAAACCCGTTGTGAACATTTGATTTTCTGCACTCTTGCCTTAATGTCACTCGAGCAGTATGCATAAATTAAAGAGTAGCGGCCTCCCAAAGTGAACTTATTGTACTACGCCTAAAGCTTTACTATCCAATCGCAGGCTTGGTGAAATGTCTTGCTTGTATGAAGGATGGTCGGCGAATTGTATCTGGATCAAAGGATGAGTCACTGAAGATCTGGGACCTAGTCACTTTGCAATGTTGTGTCACTCTGAAAGGTCACTCAAACGCTATCTGGCGTGTGGCAGTTGCCTCGGATGACAGTTTTATTGTATCTGCTTCTAAGGATGACACGTTAAAAGTGAGTGGGACTGTTTCACCATCCATTGAGAGATTGGAGGTTTTCCACCTCACAAGCTGCATCATGGAGAGAGTTTAAGCTGCTCCTCCTTTGAACTTTGAATAAGAGTTGTGATAAGTGTTGTGTTGTCCAGTGTCTAGATTTTTTCGTTCTTTTCATAAAACGAGAGGAATTTGCAGGATTCCTATGTATCAGTTGCCACTGCTGTCTATGTTACTCTTGGAAGCAGAGTCGCTGCAAACAAACTTAAATATAACTTAATAAAGCTAATTTAAAAGCCATGAACGATATCTAATTTTGTTTAGGCTTATCTCGCGCTGCTCTTGGGTATTCGCTGGTTTTCCTTATTCAGCTCTTAGAATTGTCCCCTGTCAACTCAGCAAGCCAACGGTCTCGTTCATTAAGAACTCACATGTACAATGCATAAACAGATCATGTCTTAGTAAAGTGTGATACGTTTTTCTTTGTCTCTCTCAAGGTCTGGAATCCAGCCACAGGTGAATGCCAACAGACACTGATTGGGCACTCATCTTGGATATCCTGCGTTTCCATAACAACGGATTGCAAAACAATAATTTCCGGATCAAATGACAAAAACGTCAAACTTTGGTATGCCGCGGGAAATGAGCATGCGTGTGACATTTCCACAGCTGGTGATCGCATCCTTCATCGTGCTAATCTGCCTGAATGTGTTGCCATTACAACAGACGGGCATTGGGGGCTCTCTGGCTCAAAGAATGACTCTTTAAAGCTTTGGGATATCTCTAGCACCAGGTGTATCAAGAGTGTCTCTGGTTCAATTGCGTGCATCTTCGCATTGCACAACTCCACCCGAGTGGTAACTGGCATGCACAATGGAGAGATCACCATTTGGAACTGCAGCACTCTGCAGGTCGAGAAAACGTTTAAAGTTCACCAGGGCAGTGTGGTATCGATAAAAGTATCCAAAGATGATAGCTTTGTTGTGTCAGCATCGAGTGACAACACGGTAGGTCTCACCCAAATTAGTGAAGGCCATGCAGGGCAACTTACTGGCCATTCAGACGCTGTGCTATGTGTATCTCTTTTGAGTGGAGAAGATTATGCCATCTCAGGATCCAAAGATAAAACTGTCCGTTTGTGGAACTTGAAAACAATGAATTGCGAGAGGTCCTTTGAGGGACATACTGGACCTGTCGGCTGCCTGGCATAAACGACTGACAACAGGAACATCGTATCAGGCTCCGAGGACTTCAAACTCAAGGTTTGGAGCATTCAAAACGGAGACTGCTTGCATACTTTAGAAGGTCATAACGCCTCTATCAAATGTATAGCAATCACCGAAGACAATCTATTTGCTGTTGCTGGCTCCCACGAAGGAAAAGAGCAGCTTTTATTATGGAACTTAAAGACGGGGGACCGCGCGAGAAGCTTCATCGGACACATCCATGCTGTGATGCACCTCAAGATTCTTCCACGAGACATGATGGTGACAAGCTCTCGAGATGGTACCATAAAACTTTGGAACATTGTCAGTGGAAAAATGATCAACTCTTTCGATTTTCAGTCGCAAGTGAAATACTTTGTCCTTCATCCAGTTGATGGTGGTTACTCAGTGATGCTGGCCACGCAGTCTGGTACGGTCTCTATTTTGAAGCTCCAGCTCAGTAAAGAGGTTATCGAAGAAAGTTCAGCAATGCCGACACACAATGTTTGCGATACACTCGACGAGGAAAGCTCTGCTACAAAAGCAACACCTTACGAGGAAGCTCGTTGTTCCTTCTGCGGAAACACCAATTGCTGCCGACATTGCGCCCTCATGTGATTTAACAGAACAAGCCAGAATGTAGCTCTGGAATACAAAGTTTCGTAGTGACACTGAAAGTAACTATGAAATACAACATACAATATTTTTTACTTAAGTGAAACCACCTAAGAAGCATCAAAATGCAATTCTCTGGTCATGCTCTAGAAGCGTAATTTGGCGTAAGCTTCTTGGCAAAATGAAGCTATCCGCACAAGTCTTAAAGTAATAAATAAAACCAAGCATTGGAAGTCCCTTTCATACAGTGTCAAATGATAAAATTACAATTATAGTTAATCTACAATATCGTAAGGGTTTCCTTGTTAAAAAAAAAGGAATAGAAAAAAATTATATTATTTTAAGTCATTTAATGCAAATTATAAAAAGAGGCAGGTTGATTACTTCTTACTCCTTCTTGGTGGTCTTATCTTAAAGGTTGAGTTTGGCCACGTTCTCCTAGTGAGTTTATTCACGTTTTCCTCGTTGTGATCGTGAGGTTGACGTGGAACTCGTGATAAGCCATGTTCTTAATTGAGTTAATTTGTTAGTCCAGGGAGAGTAAATCTCCCTGGTAATAGATTGCGGTTGACACCTTCTTGTTCCCAGAGGGAATTTAAGGTGTAAACAGGAGATACCCCTCATGTTTCGCAACCAAAAGCAATTTGGGGGGCGGTACTTGTGAACGCCTTTCTTCTTTAACTCTTGTGACCAAGATGTTGTTATGTAACAATCTTTAAAGGTGATTTTCTCTTAAGATACCCTTTCAGGCATAAATAATACTCGAAACCAAGGTTATTTGTGATTTTTATATTATCGATCTCGTTTCTGTTCTGGCCGATCTCAACCGTAAAGGTATGAAAATTAAGGTCGAAATTGATTTTGTAATTGCGTAAACAACTCGAAGGTGCATACTCAGTATGTGGGAACTGTAATACGTAGTCAAGCGTGATTCGCTTGTTGAGATGGTACGATGACGACACAAGAAGATTGACGGCTTAGAAATGTCATCCGCAGTGTCACCTTCATAAGCGCAGACTTAACTTTTCCCTGTCAGATAGGAGTTAGTCCCCGTTGTGACAACTTGAGAAGAAAAGAAATTAAAGAAGAATCAACCAAACCAACAACGAGTGTTAGAGAAATTACTTCTAACAAGCTGTCTGCGCCTGTGTAAGAGTGTGCAGCTTTTAAGGTAACATACAAGAGTGCCAAAGATCTTACTAAGTACAGAAAGCACTTTCAGAAAATCACCTTTATAAATGCATGGAAGCAGTAATATTTACAAATATCTGAGTCAGACTGACATGTGCTGAGTGTGCGATGCATAATACGAGCGATGCTGTGGCAAATTCGTTCGAGAGCAAAGTTAGATGTTGCAGCTATTTCAATACAATTTAGTGTTTTGTTGATGAACTAGAGCGCTGATAGCTTGCTGAGTAAATGTGTTTCAATTTTAAGCTACTCTCGCAAAGCAAATAACCTCGTGATTTGACAGAATGGCGCAACACGCTCTTCAGCAAGGTTAATAGCAGATGGAGGGAACAAAGGAAATCTGCGTATTCCTTCTTTACTTTGGTGACATAAAGTCATATCTGACTGAAAACCTTGAGAGATTTGCATTATTCTTCATGATATTTATCAGCCATTTTCCTTCACTCTGTGCAGTAGTTGCTCAACATTGGATTTTGTTTTTATCCCGGGGAAAATGCACCGCTCAAGTCTTCTTTTGCTGAATTGTGTTCTGGTGATGAGTCTCACCCAAGGATCCACGAGTTTTAACAGGTAATTCCAGTCACATCCGATTCTTTTCAATTCAAAAAAAACTTTGCTGGTTTTCAATCGATTGTTAAGAGGTTTGCTACGTCAGGTACACGGATGGTCACCTGTACTGCAGTGTTCTCTATTCGCGTTTTCACTGTTCGCGTACAATCGGTTGTCTTAGCTTCTTGTCATCATGCATATAGGCACTGAATGACGCAGCAGAAACGAGGCTTATAAATACTCGCTAGTCATAAGTACATTTTTTAGAGCATTTTATAAACTCCTATATAAAACCAAATTTAATTCGTCCCCAGCCGAACTGATTTCGACAATCTGTGTCAAAACATCTGGAATTCAGCCGGAAGCAATCTGAAAATCGGTCAAGAAATAGTTCTGTATTCTGGAAGAAAGGCAAAACCTTTAATCACTTTGACAAAACAAGGAAAGGCAAAAGTACAAACGGATGTTTTTGTTAAATTTCAAGGTGAGTTTTCAGCGCGTCATTCTTAAATTTTAGCTTTTACTGAGAGCATGTGTAATAGGGAGAAAGGTGTTGTACATCTGATTTCCGAATGATTATTTTCCAATTCAGGACGGGTAGGTCAATACCCTGACTGTAGGTAGATGATTTCCGCTGACCTTCTCACAAAAACAGTCTAAGTGAAGTGTAAACAACGGAAAGAGAACCCCTCCCCAAGAAAAAGGGAGAAAAGATGATGTTTAAGATGCAGGTCTGACCATTTTCTCTCGATATCTCACATTTCTTACAGGCGTACCTTCCGACGGAATTTTGAAAGTTAATTGTAGCTTGGGTGCAGGAAAGGGTTACTTTAGAAAGGTTCTTGACGAGCTAACGGTAGTTGGGGGCACACCACTAATATTCAGTATAACTAGTTACGACAGTTACTTTTTGTCATCTTCTCTCTCTCTCTCCCTCTCTCTTATTTATTTATTTTTTGTTTTACGGGGGGAGGGGGGGGGGAAGGGGGAATGGGTTGGTGCGCGTGTTTTATGCGTCGGAGAACCACCCTTTACCCTTCAGACAAAGTGAGTATCTTTTTGAAGGAAGTCAAATGGTTTTGTTTGATTTGTGTATTCCAAAGCTTTGTTAGACAACTACGAAGCAGACGAAAATCTTCACGAGAAGCCATCTGTTACCAAACAACGAGAGGAAGATGCTTTTATCGACGCCATCATCAAGACCAATAGAGGACCAATGCAGATTGTTTTCGACTATCTAAGAAAAAAAGGCAAAGTTTCTATGAAGGTTTGGGAGAAACTGGCTGTCTCTTTTATTCAGATTTATCTAGGTTTTAAAATTACGAGCAGTAGGAGTCGGTGATGAAAACTATTACGGGAGAGGAAATTTTACATTTTACATGGCACATAACGCTGGTTGATGTTCGTAAAGAAATCGTCGTGAAATAAATTTGGCCAAAAACCACTACTAATACGGTAACACCGTAGAACTAAACTTTACGCAAAATCCTCGAAAGGCGACTTTCCATCTGTAAGCACTGTTACTTTGCGCACGAAGTTATCGTGCAAAAATCATGTCTTTCAAATTTGGAAATGTCCGCCGCGCGTAAGTTGCACGCGTCGTGCTAGTTCTGTTTTCATCATAACATGTTTGCTCACAATGCAAGAATCATTTTTTGATCTTTAAATTTTTTCAGTGTATCGATCAATTTAAGCCCGTCCTGAAGGAAATGTGGTTCGAAAAATACTCTAAGAGAGGACGGGGCCTAAAATCTTCTGGTTTTGAACACACGTTTGTTGGTATGTATCAATCTTAGCCTTCTAGTGTGGTGTTCTTGACAGTAACAAGATTTAAAGATGCGCTGTAAAGATAATTTGCGGAACCAAACTCGTTATTATCTCTTTAGGGCATTCCTTTGACTTCAGACGCAGTAGAACTTTCTCTGATGGCATTTTTTCAAAGCTTTATCCATTGTTGTTCATCATATGTAGATAATAAGATTTTAAAGTAAAGTCTGTGGGTCTCAACTCTATTGTTTAGGAATATCACCACCTTGTAGATATCCATACAAATCCTCAAAATATTACCAAAAATACATTTATGGGTATTCACTTTTCCGTGTTCTTCTTTAAATAGGAGAACTGGGGTATAGTAGAGGCAGTAATACTAAGATCACCAAAGGCTTCCACAACTGGTTCCAGTTTCTTACGGAGCGGACATTAGGAAGATTGACATATCACCCTCCTCTTATTTCCAAAGATGTTTCTGTTGAGGTAAGTTCCTTACTTTAGTTATCTTTGAAACAAAACTTTCTTTATATGTTGAATTTCACTCGCCAGTTTTAATTTATCAGTAAGCCTTGACTTAATGCACTCGACCCAGTCTTCCGAGTTTAAATTCGAACATTGAAGCTAGCCAATCAGATTTTCGTTTCCTACTTTTGTTTTCAGCCGGCCTTAGTAAGAGCGAGGTTCCAATGGAGGGGGAAAAGGAAGCCTCCAGGCAGCAGCTTTTTCGTGGGCACCAGTCCTGATTTTGAGATGGCTTTGTATACAGCTTGCTTCTTCGAGGGAACTAACTGCTCGTGTAAACTTAACGGGAAACAGCTAAGTTTCAAAACTATTAAGTTCTATAATAAAAGGAACATCCTCACAGCATACCCAACAGTTTGAGAAAAATGCGTCAGTGGGTACCCTGGTAGCGTCTTAGTCAGTCATTTTCCATGGCAAGGAAAGAATGTGAATAAAAATAAATGTCATTTAAGTGTCAAATTAAGCAAATATTATCCATCATTCTAGTAACATAAATCATTCACATCGAGTAATTATGCAACCGATAAAATTTGCATGAGTTGGTCTTCAAGAGCAACATCGCGGTAGAAAAATAAAGTGCAACGCTTCTGGTATTGTTAGAGGTATGTTCATGAACGGAAATCTGTGGTTGATTTTGACAGTTTGCCCTCTCCTCTCCCCTCTCCTCTGTGTAGTCGTTTGCGCTCGTCGTTCGCTATATCGTGTTATCATAAGCATTTCCTTAATCCCACAGTGCCATGCGATGATGTTCGGAGCATAATGGAGTAATTTTCATTCGTTTCGTTTCCTTGTAATAGGTCAAGGAACTTTACCGACCTAACCGTTTGCAAAATTAGAACAAACTTCGTCTTGATAAATTGAGGTTTTTTCGCTTCAGGTATTTTTCATAGATTGACTTCAATATTTAATTTTTTTTCATCTTTGTTGGTGTTAGCATGTCTTAGGAAATTGACATTTTATGTCGGGGTGGGGAGGAGTGGGTGTTGTATTTTTGAATGTTTGAGAGCCATGCAGCTCAGAAATTGGAATATCATGATTATGAACAATGAACTAGTCCACCATTTCTTTTGATCAGAAAAGAGAACAATAACTGAGCACATGTGCTTAAATTTCTGTGATTTTTCTTTCCATCCCAACACAAGGATCACATTCGAAGTCCTCATGGATAGTTTTTATCGAACTTTGATCTTTGATACTTAGAATAAAACTCTATCTTTTGGTTGTCGGGTAATAAAAGCTTTAACAACAATATACAACTGAAGAAACCAGTAACTCGCAAGAATTTACAGACACAGCGATCCATTTGCCCTATTTTATTGAACACTTGCTCTAAAGTTTAGATACAGACGTTTCTATGAAAGACATTAAGCTGCAAGCTACAAAATCTCCGTCAGGTTGGTGCTGCTGTGCAGGATCAGCCGTCATTATATGGCAAGCCTGAGAACAAAACGGGAGAAAACCGTTCAAAG